GGAGGGACAGCACAGGAGGGGAAGGCCCTCTAAGAGGTGGATTGATTCAGTGACTGGGGTAATCAGATGGGTGTGTCAAGAGACAGTGCGATTGGCACAGGACAGAGCAGAGTTTAGGGCTGTTGTACATAGGGTCGCTATGAGTCGCAAGCAACTCGACGGCACATAACAACAACAAAAACAACCACTACCACCACCACCTTGGTTGGAAGTGCAACTCCTTACCCACTAGCCTACCAGAGCTCCCAGTCTTATGCAGTAGCATCTTCATTTCTTGTGCTCTTGTGGGACCTGCGGGGCCCAGGGATGAAATTAGAATGCAGGGGCTGTGTCTTGCATCTCTGAGTTAAGAAGGAGCCCAAACTCTCTGGCCTGGGAGCTCTATGTCCGTATGGTTTGAGGAGAAACATGAGCGCATGCTTTTGGTCCACAGAGTATTTGGTCTGGGAGAACCAGTGGGTGACCTAGCCCTTGGGGGCTGTCAGCTCTCCTCCCTGTAGCGTATATTCAGAGGAGATAATAGGATCTCATGGGACAGAACGTGATCCCCAGGAAAAGGACCAAGTGTTTGTGAATTAATGTGCCCAGCAGAGGGCTGATCTGCATCTTGTGGGCTAGAAGGGTGGAAGAAACTGGGCCAGGGTGGACACAAGAGGGAGGGGGCATGTCTAGTTCCCTGGACTTTTCTGTAAACCTCTTGCTAAAGCTGCTTAGTGAGATGAGAGACGGGTGGGGGGTGGAGAGAGAGACAGAATGACAGAGAGGATGAGAGAGGGAGAGAGGGAATAGGGAGAGGAGAGAGAGAGAGATGTGAGGATGTGAGTGTCGACTCTGGACTCCAGCTCTGCTATTTGACCTAAAAAAAATCCTCAGGGATTAAAGATGAGCCCAGAGCCTGAGCTGGACCAAAGATGTAACCGGGGACTATCTCTGCATTCCTAGATACCAAGGTTCAGGCGCTGTTCTTGGGAGGGAAATAGAAAGAGTGGAAGGACCTTGAACAATTTATAGGGTGCATAGCAAGGAGCCCCACTGCTACCAAACATCTGTGGTTTGAATCCACCAGCCACTGCTGGGGGCGAAAGATGGGTTAACCTGCTTCCGTAAAGACACAGAGACTCAGAAGGCCTTTGGGGCAGTTCTGTCCTGTCCTAGCTATGAGTGAGAATCTCTCAGATGGCAGTGGGATGGTTAGGGAAAGCACTCAGCTTAATGAAAGGTTAGAGGTTTGAGTCCAACCAAAGGTGCTTTGGCGGCAAGGCCTGGTAATCTGCTTCTGCAAAATCAGCCACTGAGATCTGCTCTGACAGACGGGGGTGGGATGCGGTGTCGCCGTGAGGCACAGACAGAGAGAACAGCTGGAGGAGGGGGGCTGGAGAAATCAGGAGACGGGAGCAGAGATTCATCAAGGAGGAAGATTCATCAAGGGAGGCGGGGAGAGATGGTAAGAGGAAGCAGAAAGAAAGGAGAGGCAACTCTATCAGAAAATGACTTCATTGAGGGGCCTTGCTCACCATGGGCTGAATGGACTATATGAGGAAGAGAAAGGATAGAAAGGAAGAGAGGGAGAGTGGGGGAGCAGGGGAGCAAGTGGGATGCAAAAGATGGGAAGACAGGAAAGGAGGAAGAAAAAGAGAGGAAGGAGACAGAAAAGCAGAGACAGACAGGGATGGGAAACCCAGAGACTGGGAGATGGAGAAACACACAAACAGGACCATAAAAAGACAGACAGACAGAGGCAGGGAGACACAGATGGGAACAGAGAAGTAGCAAAAGCACAAACAGAAGGAGGCAGAGGTGCTTGAAGAAAGACAGAGATGGAGAAATCAGTGACACGGAGATTGGCTAAGACAGAATGACAGGAATCTGAAGGGCGCCAGAGAAATCCATAGGGAATCAGAGAGGGGGAAGGATGTGGACCACGGATGGCTACCCCTCAGTCCCAGGAGCACCCTACACCTGCCTCTCCACCCCCTCCCCGGCTTCTCTGACTGACCCAAGGGGCAGGTGTGTGGGAAGGGGCACATCTGCCAGTGCATCATGCAAATGAACTCATGAATATGCAGCAGATCCATTGTCTTGCCCTGCCCCCAACCCCATCTGCTCGGGCCTGGCCCCTCCAGCTGAGGGCAGCTCTGTCCTGGTAGGAAGGGGCACATCCACAGCACGTTCACTGGTCCTAGCAGAGCCATGCCTGGGAATCTGGGGCCCGGGTGGGCTGCGGGCAGGGCCGGCTGGTCAGGGCTCACCGGGGTAGAAGTCTTTGGACTTGGAGAGCTTGATGGTGGCTCCTGTCTCCTTCTGCAGTTGTACGATGGTCTGGCCACCCTTGCCGATGATGGAGCCCGCCGCGTAGCTGGGAATCAGCACCTTCAGGAAGTATTCGCCTTCCTCTGCAGGGGCACGGAAGGGAGTAGAGAATCAGAGGGGAGGGGTCTTCACCTTTGGAAGGTGCTGACCTTCCTCTCCCTCCAGGAAGATGGACACGTGTGGCCACCAGGATCATAGCCACCAAGGGGACAAAGAGAATGAGCATCACAGCCAGGCGGGTCATAGAAACAATGGTCTCCACCACCAAGCAGTGAGACACTCAACCCAGCCCCATACACCCGACTCAATTCCAACTCAGCGCACCTGCGGGACAGAGCACAGCTGTGCCCAGGGTCTCCAAGGCGGTTATTGTTATAGAAGCAAATTGTCATGTCTCACTCCCATGGAGTGGTTGGGAGGTTCAAACCTATGACCATTCAGTTAGCAGCTGAATTCTTCGTTACTATGTCACTCAGTCCCCCAAATCCCACTGCCCTTGCTTGAGGCAATTTCTACTCATAGCAACTCCACAGAACAGAGCAGAACAACCGCATATGGTTTCCAAGGCTGTAAACCTTCACAGAAGCAGTCTGACGGAGCCTTCTCCCAGGGAACAGCTAAGTGTGTTCGAACCACCAACCATTTGATAAGCAGCCAAGAGCTTAACCACTACACCACTGTTGATATACGCTGTTATGTCGGACTTAACTCATAGCTGACCCTCCAGCGGATTTTCAGAGAGGAGGAGATTGCCTATTTTCCTCCATAGAGCAGCTGGTGGATTTGAGAGATGTGTCTTCAGGTTGTCAGTATAGTTCATTACTCCTCAGCCACCAGAGCTCCGCTACAAAGCCAAATAATCGTTTTGCTTAACTAAAAAAATAAAAAAAAATAAAAATCTCACAACTAGACCAATACCACAATAAACAGAGAAAAGATTGAAGCTGTCAAGGATTTCATTTTAGGTGCACCCACACTCAACTGTGGAAATAGCGGTTCAGAAATCAAATGATGTGCCATCAAGGACCTCTCATGTGAAGGAGCAAGGATGCCACTTTAAAAAGTAAGGTGGGTGTGATCCAATCCATAGAGTTTTCAGTTGCTTCACATGCATGCGAAAGCTAGATATTGAAGAACAAAGACCAAAAAAGCGTTGATGCCTTTAAATTATAATATTGCCAAAAAATACCATGGACTGCCAAACAAATCTGTCTTGGACGCAGTGTAGCCAGAGGGTTCCACAGAAATCAGGATGGTGAGACTTCATCTCACGTACTTTGGCCATGCTGTCAGCCATGGGCCAGTCCCTGGAGAAGGACAGCAAGCTTAGAAAAGTGGAGGGTGGGCAAAGGAGAGGAAGACCTTCGACAAGATGGATCGACAAAGTGACTGAAATAGTGGACATAATCACAGCAGAGATTGTGAGGATGACACAGGATCGGAGGAGGTTTTATCCTATTGTATGTCAGGTCATTATTAATCAGAGCTGACTCTATAGCACCTAACAACAACAACAACAAGAAGTCTGTCTTGAACATGATGCTCTTTCAAGAACTAGCGACCTGGGATCAAATTGACACCAGCACCTCGAAAGATTACACAGGAACATCAGGGGCCCGTGAGTTTATGTGGATGGAGGAGCAGCAACTCAGAAAAGGAGAGTGCGAACTCACTTCACAACTTGAAGAATATAATTAGTGTCTCTCAATTGTACTTGTAGAAACAGCTCCATCAGTGCATAGTGCTGTTTATACTCTCAACAGGGATCACAACAAAATAAAGATTTTAAACATTAAAAACTGAACTTGGTTCGTGGAATAAATGTTCACTAAATAAGTGTTCACTAGGCACCTGCAACATGCCAGGCACCCTTCTGGTGAGGCGCCTTGGATAGGAGCAGATGAAGCTCCTTGCCCTCACGGGCAAGTACGGGAAATAAGGTCAGGAGAGTTTCTGTAATTCTGCCAAGAGTCTGCCCTGCTAGAGCCTTCAAGAGCAGTCTATTTTATGTCAGATGCTGGTGAGTACCAAGAAACGAAGAAAACAGACAGAAAAGGACAGTGGGGAATGGAGGGGGCTGTTGTGTTGGATTCACTCGCAAGAAGTCTCTCCCGAGAATATGACGTTCTTTATTCTTTATCTTTCAAGTTGGACAATGAGTAAGGATGACAGAGGAAGAATCGATGCCTTTGAATTGTGGGAGAAGAGTACTGAATAACCCTGTGGACTGTCAAAAGAACAAACAAGCCTGGCTTGGAGGAAGTGTAACCAGGAGGCCTCCTTAGAGGCAGAGTTGGTGAAGCTTCAGGTCACACATTTGGGCGTGTTGTCAGGCAGGGAAAAGACATCATGCAGAGAAAGATGGGAGGCCAGATAAAGAGAGGAAGACTCTCAACAAAATGGACTGACACAGTGACTGTAACAATGGGATTAAGCATATCAAAGATGGTGAAGTGGTACAGGATAGAGCAAGGCTCAGAGCTGTTGTTGTTCATAGAGTTGGCTATGACTCAGAGCAACTAATGCAACAGCACCGAACTAAATGTTTTGCAAACATTCCTTCTGTAGCTCTATGTTGGGCTGCTCAAAGCCCTCCTGTGGCTCTTGTCTAACTTAGCATAGCATCAAAGACCTCGCTATATTTGGCCACCCTGTCACCTCCCAGTCACCTCTCTGCCCTCCTCTCCTCCTTCCCTCTCCACAACCTTGTTCACTGTGTTTCAGCCTCACTGCTCTCCTGACTCTCCCTGGAAGCCAAGGCAATATCCTACCAATACAAAAGAAAGGCAATGGAACCACAAGGCTATGCAGGGGAAGAGCAAGTGCAAAAATCCTGGGGTAGATTGAAATTAGTGTTCCAGGAAGAGTGAAGAGCTTCATGTGGCTGGTGCCGGGCTCCCTGAAATCTATCCTGGGAGAAGTACAGCCAGTTATGCCCCTTAGAAGTAGGGATGGTGAAACTTGGTGTCATTTACTTTGACTATACGATCATGAGGGCCAATGCTTGGAGAAGGACATCATGCTTGGTAGATGATAAGTCAAAAAAATGGACTGGAACAATGGGCTTAAACACACTTCCTATCATGGGGATGGTGCAGGATTGGATGTTTCATTCTGTTATACGTAAGCTCACTCACGCTGAGTTAGAAATGGCTCAATGACACCTAACAACCACCGTCCATTGAGCCTAATTCCTCTAGATTCTGTTTCACACACTTTCCAAATACCAGTTCTTTGAGTCTTCACATTGATCCCACTAGAGAGGTCCTCCTTACAAAACCCAGACTCCAGATGAGGAAACAAAGGAGAGCAAACTGCCTAAGTTCACACAGTGAAGACATAGGAGAGTAGATTTGAACTTGACCCTGGGTATCCTTGGTGGTGATGCAAAGGGTTGATTCACTCATCTACTAACAGAAAGATTAGAGGTTTGAATCAGACTTTAATCTGCTTCAAAATGGTTCAGTTATAGCTGAGGGAAACAAGGGGGGTGCATATATTGGAGAAGGAGCTCTGTGGCCTAGTGGTAAGGAGTTGTGCTACCAATCCAAAGACATGCAGTTCAAATCCACCAAGTCCTCTGCATGCAGGAGAAAGGTCAATCTACTCCCATGTGATTTACAACCTCTGAAAACCCACCAGAGGGTCAGCTATAAGTTGGTTCCAATTTGATAGCATATTACAACAACAATATGCAAGGGAAAAGTAGAGTCAGCAAGAGAGAAGAAGACACTGCACAAGACGGATTGAAGCAGTGATTGCAATGATGGATCTAAGCATAGCAGAGGTTGTGAGGATAGAGCAAGAGTGAGGGGAGTTTTGTCCTCTTGGTCTACAGTCTCTATGAGTCACGCCCATTGGATTTGGATCTGAACAGGAAGCAGGCAGTGGTGGCGTGTTCAAAGATGAGGACCAGCCTCGTTACTTTGAATACATGTTCACGTCCATCGAAATAGATCATACAGGAGATATGCTTCCTATGCAATATGCACACTTGTCCTTGTTTCCCTCAACCATGACTGAGCTGCTTCCAAAAGGTTAGAAGCCTTAGTGAGTCCACCCGAAAGCACTCCTAAGTAAAATCCTGGCAATCTATTTCTGAATGAACTCGCATGGAATAAACCAAGAGTCGGAATCTACTCAGTGGCGGCTGATTTTCAAGGAATCTGGTCCAGTTCCTTGACATCTGTGCCCTTACTCTGATGATACACTGTCTCTAGGCTATGGAGGAGGGAAGGCAATGGAACCACACGGCTATGTAGAGAAAGAGCAAGTGCAAATGCCGTGGGGTAGGTTTGTGTCTGGTGTTGCAGGAAGAGTGAGGAGGTTGGTTGAACACTGTTGAACACTGAACAAGGGGGAAGAGAAGACAGAGGAGATGAGGGCAGAGAAGGGAGTATGTGGGAGTGAGGAAGAAAGGTAAGTTGAGTCCTGTGAGTGATCATGAGGTCTTTGCTTTTTATGACAAATAAGAGCCACACAAGGGCTCTGAACAAAGACAAGTAGGATCTGACGGGTTTTAAGACAACCATGAAAGGAAAAGACTAGAGAGAGAGAAGCAAGAAACTTAGAGAGAAGTTCGCTACCCATCTAGGTAGGAGGCAATGGAAGGTCCAATTGGGAGAAAGTGTGGAGGAGGGAGAATTGGACTCTGGAGTTGCTCTGAACTCCATCTTGGCCAGACACTGAGCTGAGTGCTTTCCAAGCTCTACCTCACGGACTCCTATGACTTTTTGGCAAGCTGGTTCAAATGACCTCTGTTCTTACAGAAGAGGAAACCAAGGCACACAAGGACACAGGAATGTGAAGGCACTAGCTCAAGGTCATCCCTCTAGAGAGTTGCAGGGTTGAGATTTGAACTCCATTGTAACTCAGCCTTGATCCTCACTTGCGTATCCTTCCCTCCGAAAGCTAGTGACTAAACACCTACATGCCCAACGTTGGTATAGGAGGACTTACACTTTTGGAGTTGTACTTGCCAACCTAATGGTAGGCAGTTCAAATCCACCAACTGCTCTGCAGAAGACAGACAGGTGGTCTACTCCCACATAACTTATAGCCTCTGAAAACTCACTGGAGAGTC